GTGGAGCTGGAAAACACAGGTCTGGGCTAGGCAGTGTCTCTTACTATCACTATCACCATGTGTTCTTCTTCTAGCTTGCCCAATGTCCTCAGTGCTGACTGGAGGTACTGCTGTGAAAAGTCGCAGGGCGGGAAGGCGTAGAGCATGCCTGTACTGTCTCTGCCCTTGGACCCACCCACCGGCAGGCTGATCACACCTGCCGCCTGCTTCTGTTTCAAGTAGGAGACCAGGTTCCTGAGAAGCCGCCTCTGTAGGCCTGGCTCCACTGTGGGCATCCCCTCAGTGCCAGGCCCACTGGGGGTGGCCTGAGTGGCCAGCAGCACTGCGTAGCCATTGGGGCTTCCCTGCTTGATGCGCCGCGTGACCTCGTCGAGCTTGGGCTGGTCCAGTCGGAGGCGCTGGGCAATCTTCAGCTGAGTCAGCTTACTCCCCGAAGTGTGGTCTTTGAGGAGACCGCTGATCACCCCCTGATCCCCCTCAAGGATGTGCATAGATGTCGGGAAGCAGCTGTTTTTCAACACTAGAAGCCCGTTCCAACCCAGCTGCAGTGTCTGGGCATACTCCGAGAGGTTCTTGAGCTTTTTGGTCTCATGTTTTGGCTCTTCGAGAGGCTTCGGCTCAGCCTCAGTGGTCCGATGATTGCGCTCGCTCTCGCGTGTCTTCTTCCCGTGGGTAGAGTCTGGAGCCTCATGGTGGTGGTGGTGGCCCCGGTCCTCAGCCCCGTGTCTGCTGTTGCTGAGGGAGTTGCTGCCCAACTCCTTGGTCCCTTCGCTGGAGTGATTTTCCTTACGACTGCGCTCAGGGGTGCGGTCGGAGCCTCGGTCGGCCTGCTGCCCACCACCCTTGGTCCTGCTCCGTTCCTCATAAGGAGAGTGGGTTGTCCTCCCCCGGTCACTGGAAAGACTCCTCCGCTTCCGCCTCTCTTCCCAGGGCTTGGGCAGGCCCCGGTCCCCATCTCCCCAGCGCTCCCCACTTCGGCTGCGCACTGAGCGGCTGTAGCCCTCCAGGCTATTTCTGCGGTCAGAGCTTTTACCAGGGCTGGCCCAGTCTCCTTCCAAGAAGGTCCGGTCTCGGTCTGAGTACAGCAGGTGGGGAGGGGTCCTGTCACGCACCCGAAGGTCAGGATCCAGGTTTCGGTGCCGGGTATACCCGTCTGGGAGAAGCTCGTAATGCACAGGGAGTGGGGAGGGCTGGTACTGCTGGGGATACCGAGTCTCTTCTGCTTTGGCAAAATCCACACGCAGCCTGCGGTCTGGACCACCCAAGGGAAAGCCCCTCATTTTAGCACAGGCGGCCTGGGCTGCGTCCAGGCTCTCATACTGGATGTAGGCAAAGCTGTCTCCTTTGACATGATCAATGGTCCGAATGCTCCCAAAGCGGTCAAACTCCCGGGCAAGAGCCGCCAGTGAGGTGTTAGGTCCCAAACCACCAACCCAGAGACGGGTGGTGGGATTGGCTTTGCCATAGCCAATCTTAATAGGGTTGCGGCCAATCACCCGGCCTGACATGGCCACCTTAGCCCTGTGGGCCATGTCTAGGTTCTGGAACTTGAGAAAGGCATACGCACCGCCCTGGCCTCGGGCAGGTCTCTTGATAACCACCTCCTCAATGATGCCATACTTCTCGAAGGCCCGCCGCAGCTCCACCTCTGACACGCTGTGGTCCAGGTTCCCGATGAAGAGGTTGCGCGTGGCCCGCTGGTCGTCCTCAGGCATCAGGTCCTCCTCACAGACAGCCGGGTAGCCGTAGGGGCGCCCCCGGTCATCATATAACCCGTAGTAGTCCAGGGCCCGCTCCCGGGATAGTCCCACAGCTGCGGCGGCGGCAGCGTCCAGGGCAAAGGCTGCAGCAGCATGGCGGGCGCGGGGCTCCCGCAGGGGCGGTGCGGCGACCGGGGACAGCGAGCGCTGCTTGTACTGGTAGCCACCGTGCAGCGGCAGATAGCTGAGCGGGTCGGCGGGCGCGGGCGGCCCTGGGGGCGGCGTGGAGGCGGCGGCGCTGCTGCTGCTGCTTCTCCGGCTGCTCCCGCCGCCACCCCGCAGGTACACAGGCTCCACCTTGAGCGGGCGATCGTACAGCAGCAGCTGGCGGGCCAG